GGTTTTGGAGTGGATGTGCAGATTGATCCTCTGATCTTTTGAATTTTCTCTGAAAGGAAACTGGAAAACTTGTTTCCTTTCAGAGGAAGGGAATCTACTATATTTGGAGTCGTGAAAAGTCAAATTTGTGAATTTGACAAAACAAATGCAAAGGAATGTCAAATCAGCATAATTTAGTCAAATCTGTTAAAATAAGGGGGCAAAACCTGGTCTTTCAAAAACAATATTTCATACATTGTTACATTAACCTTTAACAGATTTAAGATTTTTAAAAAAAAATTTTTACTGGAAGGGTAGAAATTTTCAGATGCCATTCCCTTAAAAACATATTTGGCAACTCAAACACTCTCACTGTCCACAAATTGTTGTCTTTAGTGAGCAACATGACCAGAAATAAAGGGAGAGCAGTGGGGACATCGTGATAAAGAAACTCCAAATGAAAACAGAGTTAGTCGCCTTCTGTACGGTCACAGCAATACTGTCACAATGTCCACTTTTTCTATTGTAGTCTTAGAGCAGAGAAATTTATCATGTTTTATTTAGCCTGAGACTCAAACTAAAGTTTAGTTATCCTCATTCAGATCCTTGAATTCAATTCTAGGATTTCTTCAAGACTAACAAGTTCAGTCAATGCTCTTACCCGCCATATTTCCAGAAGGTGTCGTAGCCACAGATGTCAACATTTCAGTAAAACTTCCATCTTTCATCTCAACGTCTCCAGGAACCTGTTGAAGAAAAAATAAATAAATAAATAAATAAATAAAAGAGTATTGACATCAGGATACAAGAGGAAGGGTTGTTGTGATATTCAGGTAAACAAATGTCAAAAATGCAAGTCAAAACTGTTTGAATATGCATTTGTGTAAGAAAGAAATGATGTTCCCCAAACCACACAACTGTCCCAAAGGTTTGTGTCAAAGCTGAAAGAATGTAAAATCCTGAAGAGGTGATCTTTTTTTTTTTTTTTAAGTTTTATTGACCTTTATTTGATAATGGATCGACAGGAAAGTGAGTAAAAAAGAAGGGGGAAGACATACGGCAAAGGTCACCAGGCCGAGAAGCGAACCTGCGACTAAAGCCACCATATGTGGGTTGTGCTTAAACCCCTTCACTACCACATCACCCAAGAGGTGACCTTTTTAAATCCAACTTGATGTGCATCACTCCACATTTTACCCACGTGTTAAAAGTGCAAAAGGTGGCCAGTCAGTGAAGTTACATTTAAATCACAGACTCACATCCCACGGCTGAATGGGAGGCCAACAAAATGTCCTTTTAGACACAGGAACCCATGAGGAGGGGGAAGAGCAGCCAGCAGGAGGCCCTCCCTTTTAATGGTTTAATAAAGTAATACAGAAAGCAAATGTTAAGAGTCAACCACAAACGCAGCAAGCAAATTTCTAAAAATAAACAGTAAAAAAGATAGAGGAAAGTGCTATAAAGTGTGTTAATGGTCATTTAATAGAATCAGAAAAGGCTTTTGGTGAAAAACTCAACTGAAAGTTTGTTAAAATGGATCAATTAAAGGAGTAAAGCTTCCAAACAGGTTCAATCAAACCCATAAACTATAATTTAAATAAAATTACTCCTGATAAATGGGACTGAAGCCGCAAACCCACCTGAGTTATTGAGGAATCTGAGCTGCATCTTTTCAGCCAAGCGTTCTTACTGATTGGCTGGAAAGGCAGCTGGTTTAACTCCAGCTCCCGTTCCTGATTAAAAGGAAAATAATAAAAGCTAGAAAAACATTCAGATTCTGCCAACAAGCCTTTATAACTTCATTATTCAGACTGCCAGTCCTTTTATGATGAAAAACAGGCAAACTCAAACATCAAAGACGTACAGACAGACCCAGTATCTGCAGCAGCAGTAGAACTGACCTGGCGTATGATGGAAGCCTGTTTGGAGCTGGGCGTCGTTGTGCACTGCAGTTTCTGCTGAATGCCAGACACGAAGCCAGAGCGGGGCCGTAGGCAGGAGCTGGCAGGGCTCGGTGTTTGGGTGGTGTCGGCCTGAGAGGCTGGTGCCTTAAAACGCTCCAGCCGTTGATGAAATTCTTCCTCACCTGGAAAAATAATAATAAAAGCAGCCAAGATGCTGACTCTTGACCAATGTTTCAAATAAATAGTTACTTAGCCTACAAAACTGCTTCAAAAAACACTTTCTTTGGTTTAAACCATTTCCAAAATAATATTCAGAGCATTTATAATTCACTTTTATTCATTTATTTGACATTCTTATTGACCTGGCAATAAAACAACCCCATTTTCTAAGAAAGCAGTGATGCAATTAGTTCTGCTTTCTTTACTTATAAAAATTAAAAAGAAATAATTTCCCCCAGAGCACAGAGATAATACTTCCTCTACAGACGAGTGTAAAGGTGTGATCTCATTTGCATCCTTACCGAGAAGATGCTCACCGACACCCTTGCTGGAAACCGATGGGCCTTCATTTCCCGGATGAGAGAAAGAACGCTGTGCAAAAAAACCTAAAAACAAAACATTCACCATTACGAAGTGCAGTGTGATGCCAGCATTACCACAACAATTCAGCAACATCTTGACAAATATCATCAACATATCTTTCTATAATTACAGTCAGACTTGATTCCAACAGGAAATCATCAGTAATAATTGAAGGCAGATGTGATTTTTATTCGTGATTCAATCTAAGGTTGGAGTTTACGTAAGCAACATAAGCGTGCCAACGTCAGCAGTTCTAGATGAAGTTACCGTCTTTTCTCTGGGTGAGCAGCTGGACTCGTGAACGGACCGACGGGATCACTGGTGTGTCCGGTTTTGCCTGGAACTCCGCTAGGCGTCCAGATGAGGACGGCTCAGGACTCCGGTTCTCCTGTCCAGCCGCTTCCAGACGCCGCCGCTTCAGTCCATCTTTTACATCTGAAACAGCAAAAACAAATGCTTGCTAAAGATTGGCACAGTACAAATATAAAGACTCGGTTCTTAACGTTGTAGTAAATGGTGTCAAAAGCACACCTGCTGCAGGGACATTGTTGTCTTCAGTGTCTGACAGAGGCCTCTTTAGAGTGACATTGCTGCCATTTTCCTGCCCAGCTTCCATGATGAACTAAAAACAGACACAAAAACAACCATGTCGAAGGTTTTCTTCTCTCCAAATATGAAAGCAGAGTCAACTATAACAAAACACACATTAAACAACTTTGCTTAAAAAGTTTCATTCAGTACTTTTCCAGTTGCTAAACAATGCAAAATCATAACATACAATCAGATGTTGACACATGAACACAGATCAAAAAAGCAATTGCATCAATCTCACCACACTGACAGCTTTTTGAGGTTATCAGAGGTTAGCTTAGCTTGAAGAACAGACCATGTGGTACTCAGCTGTTTATATACAACATATCTGTTGATGTTCAATAAAAACAAACCCTCAATTGTTCAAATTAGACTTAAAATATATTTTTATGAAACATAACTACATACAGTAAACACAGAAGACCTTTGTGGAAGGAGACGTGACAAGGCCCAGTTCAAAGCGCTCAGACTCGCTGCAGGTAAATTTCAAATGAAACGCAGGTAAAAACAGGTAGCTAGTTCTGCTGTTAGCTGCTCCGCTAGGTGACTCACACAGTTTTCAAGCCAACACAAGAAACCTAAACAAAACTAAGTGGCAACTGTTTTAACTAACTTTAGGTTGACAAAATATAATATCAAGAGTTGGACTTTCAACATTAACAGATGTTGTGTGTTTAAACCGAGCTATCTTATTTACTGTCGGCCATCATAACGTTAGCTTAGCTTCGAGTTGACATTATAAGCGAAAAAAAGCTTGAATTTCTCAACATAAGAGCCAGCTTAGTTGTTAGTGTGTTACCTGAGAATATGCCTAAAAAGCTTATATACTATTCAGGTCAAACCTAGGTTGCATTAAGTTGAGAAAACAGCCTCCTTGTCGTCAGGTGTTGCAGCGTCCTTCTCCAACTTTGAATTTCAGCGGGTCCTCTGACGTCAGCGGAGCGTACAAATGGACTCTTCCTCCTACCGTAATATACTGACAATCCGCGCAGCTCGACGTTTTGTCATCAAACAATGTCGGAGACCTGTATTTCATTACATAACAATTAAACAAGCAATTCAAATCAATGTTTTACTGTTATGTACACGAAAAAGGAACATCAGTACTGCAATAACATTGGAATCAGAGGTCCAAGCTATTGCACTGTACTAAAATAAACTATATTGCCTCACCAGCAGTCGCTGAGCTCTGCAGAGGCCTGATGAGAAGCTCATTTGATTCAGGTGTGCTGGGAAAGAGATGCATCTAAAAACTGCTGGATGCAGCTCTCGAGGAATGGGCGTGGGCACACCTTATGTATTAGTATACATAATAAAATAAGTATTAAATAACTTCGCTGTCGATTTTGGATAAAGACTCGGATGGAAACAGAGATACTCTTCATTTGATTACTATTTTTCTCTCATATTTCCACCTATTTTCCATCTAACCTAATCTAGACATGATTCTACTCTGTATAAAAACTTCCGTTTCAAACCACTGAAGGTGTGATATGCTTCAGCTTTACAGATTCAATTTCCATGAAAACACAAAGACAAATGCTGAGCAAAGTCCTTCTGGAAGATCTTTATCTCTGCAACCCAGTGGTCAGTGACTTCAGTGGTCAGTGACTTTAGTGATGTTGTGAAACTGAGCAGCACCAGTTTAACTTTTTCTCCTCTGTGGAATGGATTTTTTTTTAACCATTAACTATTCTATGAACAGGATTTATAAGCGTAGCAGAGCTCAGTCACAATCATAGCAAAACGAGAAGCAACAGGACATCATCGCCTTCATCATCTTCCACCAACAGCATCATGAAGACTCTCTGCCTGTCCGTAGGAATGCTGCTGCTCATCGCCTGCTGTTGCGACGCCAGGCGTGAGTGATCTCTGTTTGATCTTTAATTTGAACACATTTGATATTTTCATACTGACTCGTTTTGCTTTCCTCACAGCTCAGGGAGTACAGTTCAACACAGGTCCTGTAACCTGTTGTGACCAATTCAGCAACAACAGAGTACCAGCAAAAAGGATTGTGGACATAACAAAGACCCACAGCTCCTGCATAAAACAAGGATTCATGTGAGTTTGCTTTTTATTTTTTCAACAAAATTAAGAAACTGGACTTCAGGTGGAAAGAGGATAAAAACTTATTTCCTTTTGTTTTTATAATTTGCAGGGTAGAGACTGTGAAGGGACGACTGATCTGCTTCAGATCGTCCACTGGGTGGGTTGAGGAGGCTTACAATCGAATGATCAACTCTGAAGGCATCAATCTGCAACAATGAAGATCCTGAACTGTATTTATGTGCAATGCATTATGGAAATGCCTGTTGTTTTTGGAATAAATAAGCTTTAATTTGTTTTGTATTTAAATTAAACTTCAACAAGTGAATGCTCAGACATTTTTGACCTGGCGTTGTCTTTTGTGTCTTTTGTTAAACAACTTTATCTATCTATCTATCTATCTATCTATCTATCTATCTATCTATCTATCTATCTATCTATCTATCTATCTATCTATCTATCTATCTATCTATCGTATTGATCGGTTTAACTGTAGCATGGCTGCAGGGCTGAAAGTCCCTTTGAACAACGAGCTGCGACTTTCCTGCACTGACATAAGTGTGAAAGCTGCAATCTAAATATGTTGCGGCGACAGTCTTATCTCTGATCTCATCTCGCAGCAGAGATGAGATCAAAGTTTCCCTCATCTCTCTGTTTGCAAACAGATTTGCATAGACAGAGGAACTGAATCATGGTGCGTTTCCACACAGAACTTTTCAGTTTATATTAATAATCCAGCAGCCATTGAAACTGTGAACTCTGACTTTCTAATTTTAAAAATAACATTGTGTCTGGCCATAGCTTTCTTAGAATTACATGCAGACCCACTATAATATGGAAATTTTTACAGTCATAAACCAGACAATGACTAATGCCCTGACTTAAGTTTTCGTTTTTAAAGGGCTAGTACACCTACTCAAAAATAAATAGGAGATAGATTATTTTAAGCATTTAAAATAATTCCCTTTTAGTGATTTCAGACAGATAGACTGGGTAGATATAAAATTTATTTGATTTAAAGAAGCTATCTAAACAAACCTATATCAAACTTATATTAAAATGAAATTGGTTTCCTAATTAGTACTGCCACCCTTGTAATCTGAGTAAATCTGAGTAACTTAAATCTGATGTTCTCGGCACTCATTTATAGATTATTTATAGTTGCATGTGCAGGCTTGTTATTTTATTTATTTACTTACATATTTATTTTATTCATATATATAAGTTCTTATACATAAAAATGTATATATTTATATAATACATTTTATTGCTTGTGGTTATGTTTGTACTATTAATATTTAACAATTTGGATGGAGTAGCTTGTTGACCGATAAACAATTTCCCCTTAAGGATCAATAAAGTATATTCTATTCTATTTTATTTTATTTTATTTTATTTTATTTTATTTTATTTTATTTTATTTTATTTTATTTTATTTTACTTTACTTTACTTTACTTTACTTTACTTTACTTTACTTTAATTTAATTTAATTTAATTTAATTTAATTTTATTCATGGCAATAATAATAGCATCAAATGCTGGTGATGACTGATATTGAGTCTTTTACTGTGCATAAACTTTGACCCACTTTTTGTTGCAGAATTGTTTCATTTCAGCCACATTGAAATGAAATGATATTACTTTTGGACTAGATTTAAGGCTGGACTTTGACTAGGCCTCTCCAAACATACATTTATTTTTTTCTTTCCAACAAAAATGGAGTTACTGCTGCTCTTTGGATTGTTGTTCTTCTGCCTAATCTTAGTGTTTCAGCTTGAGGTCACAAACTGATGTCAGAATATTCTCCATCAGGACTTTCTGGTAGATGGCAGCATTCACGGTTCTTGATGTTCGTTTTCGTTTTATGCCAGATGTAACAGGACTTGCATCTTCCAAAAAGTTAGCCTTTTATCTTGTCAATCCTCAAAACATCGTTACCATCATCAGGATATATATATATATATTCTTTTGACCTAAGTGATCTTTTTGGTCAAACCCCTTTTGAATCCCAAAACCTTAGAAATGTGCCTAGATTGACGTCAATTATTTTGTGTTTGACACAAAATAATGTAAAATAATAACCTTCAACCTCAAACAGTTTTCCATTTACGTTCAAGAACTTTAATACATTCCTTTCAGCTCATGTCACTATGATCCTGTGCTCCACGATGGAGATATAAGATACCCAAGAAAGTAATAAAAGGTCAAGGGTCAGTGAAATATCATATATTTTTTTAAAGGTTTTGGTTGGCTCTTGTGGACTTTATTTGAAAGTAGAGGGTAAAGACACACAGCAAATGTCACGAGCCTGGGAATTGAACCTGTGACCACCACTATGATGACTAAGGGCTCAATACGTGGATTGTGCGTTGCCCCGGCGCCACCACAGCACCCCTGATACTTTGACTCTGCCACAGCCTCCACAGTGAGCACTCAACTTCGGTTAACTTGGATTTGGACGGGGCGGTGATACAAAGTGTTGCTGAATTTGCACAAGACCGAAAGCCATTAAAAATCAACCAATGGGTTCAAATAAAGTGGCATCTAGACGTGATTCTGCTCTGTATAAAAACGTCGGTTTCAAAATACTGAAGGTGTGATATACTTCATCTTTACAGATACAGCTTCCAGGAAAAATACAAAGACAAATGCTGAGTAAAGTGTCATGCCAGATCTTTATCTCTGCAACCCATCTGTGGTCAGTGACTTTGGTGACGTTGTGAAACTGAGCAGCAGCGGTTTAACTTTTTCTCCCCTGTGAAATGGATTCTTTTTTTAACCATTAAGAATTTTTTTGCAGGCAATTTTAGATTGGAAAAATTGCCACCTCAAAAAAAAAAAAAAAAATTTCGGTTTCCCCATTGAACAGGATTTATAAGCGTAGCAGAGCTCAGTCACAATCATAGCAAAACGAGAAGCAACAGGACATCATCGCCTTCATCATCTTCCACCAACAGCATCATGAAGACTCTCTGCCTGTCCGTAGGAATGCTGCTGCTCATCGCCTGCTGCTGCGACGCCATGCGTGAGTGATCTCTGTTTGATCTTTAATTTGAACACATTTGATATTTTCATACTGACTCGTTTTGCTTTCCTCACAGCTCAGGGAGTACAGTTCAACACAGGTCCTGTAACCTGTTGTGACCAATTCAGCAACAACAGAGTACCAGCAAAAAGGATTGTGGACATAACAAAGACCCACAGCTCCTGCATAAAACAAGGATTCATGTGAGTTTGCTTTTTATTTTTTCAACAAGACGTAGAAACTGGATTTCAGGTGCAAAGAGGATAAAAACTGATTTCTTTTTTTGATTTTTCAATTTGCAGAGTAGAGACTGTGAAGGGACGACTGATCTGCTTCAGATCGTCCACTGGGTGGGTTGAGGAGGCTTACAATCGACTGATCAACTCTGAAGGCAGCGGCCAGCAAAAATGAAGATCCTGAACTGTATTTATGTGCAATGCATTATGGAAATGCCTGTTGTTTTTGGAATAAATAAGCTTTAATTTGTTTTGTATTTAAATAAACTTCAACAAGTGAATGCTCAGACATTTTTGACCTGGCGTTGTCTTTTGTGTCTTTTGCTGATGTTAAACTTTACAGTCAGTGTTTGAGTTTCTGACAACTACAACATGCGTTGGGAGGTAAATCTGGATTATCTGGAACCATTAAACGTATGGAGGGCAGGACTGGAAGAGCTGAGGGGAAACGAGAAATTGACACAGAATGAAAACAAATGAAAAACTGGGATCAGAAACTGAAAATCAAGAAAATCAAGTAAAGATCCAAAAAATTATGACAGCAAAGTCAACAAAATCCAAAAAGAAAAAAATCTGTCTACATTTATACATTAGACTGAAAAATATATATTTTCTCATGTTACAATGTGTGTTTTAGCCTGAGTTTGAGTGTTAAAATCACAACTAGCCATGATACATTAAGTTATAATATAAGGTCCTTTACAAAACTAACAGATCCCATAAATATACAGCTCTGGAAAAAATTAAGAGGCCATTTAAAATGATCAGTTTCTCTTATTTTTCTTCTCATAGGGTGTATGTTTGAGTAAAATGAAGACTTTTCATTTACACTATGAATTACTGACAGCATGTATTCGAAATTCCAAGCAAAAATTTTGTATTTAGTAACAGAAAATGAAAAATGATCAAAGAAACAAAACAGATGCAGTGATTTCAGAGCTCAAATAATGCATAAAAACCAAACTAATCCAAACCAATCCAAAACACAAGCTCATATTAATAAAAAAAATAAATAAAAAAAACACTAATGTTTTAAATCAGTGTTTAAATCAGGAAGAGTTCAGAAATCAATATTTTGGTGGAATAACCAGGAATTATAGCAAACATTTTGTTCAGATCCACGTGTTTGTGGTCTGAGTGAACTAGAAATGTTCAGATATCTGTTTATCAATGAGGAAATGATTTAACTGATTAAATCTAAAACTAAAACTGGGAACATAGAAGTCTGTGTTTATCAAACATTAAGGTTTTAACAGAACTTCTTCTCAGAAGAGGATTTGATGGCACCGATGGAAAACAACAAATTAACAATGTCAATTAAATCTTTTATTGAAAATCTGCTGAAAGTTTTCAGAAATTATGCAACATTTCTCATTTGTTGAGAAGAATTTATAGATTTATGTCTCCACTTTGCTGTTAAGTTACAATGAAACTTATATTCTGGATTTCTGGATTTCACGTCTGATGGGAGGTGGGGGGATTTACACACTGGAGACGTGGAAATAGTTTTGTCTGAAATGAGTTCTTTGATTATTTTATTGTTTTAAATCAGTGTGGAAAAATACAAATCTCTTTCTATTACAGCTGTATTGTAATTTCCTAATGTAGCCCTGGGGTTTGAGAACCACAAGACGTGGGGGTTTATGTCTTTTGATAGGTAACTGGGGTTAAGAATGGGTAAGGGAGTTACATAAATGTATATTTCGGTGATTTACCTATTGTAGAGTACGGAGAGGGATGAATTCCTATGTCTGAGAGTTACTGAGATTTACGAGGGGAAGTGAAGTGTACGGAGGGAAAGAAAGGAGAGAGAGAGAGGATTCTGGGAGAGGAGAGGAGAACGAGAGCAGAAGGAGAGAGGGGAGAAAAAAAAGAAAGAGGGATTGGAACAATACAGGAAACAAAAAATTCGTCTTAAACATAGTTGGTGAGTTACAAATAAGATTATACGCGGAGGATAGTTCACAATTGAGTAATGGGAAGTGTGGACCCGTTAATGAGGACTGCTACTAATTAGAGGACACTGCAGCGGAGCAGGTGTTTGGAGTAACGCAGCAAGACCGAAGCAGCGGTGACTTTGAGGACGTCGGCGGAGCGAGCCGGTTTCGTTTGGTCCACCCGGTTCCAACAAGAGGAAAAGTAACGAGGACTTCTGCGGTCGTTTCAGCGAACTCAAACATCAACAGGCGGCAACGGAAGCGTCAAAGGGTATTGGACTGTAAGTGTGAGAGTGAGGGCCCTGTGTGAGAAGGTGTGTGAAGTTATATGCTGAAATGGGAAGTTGGTGTAAGTTTAAGAACTGTTAATGTTTGTAAATGTATATAAGGGGTTATAGAGATTGATATGTGTTAAATTCCTACCACCGTTCAGGGTAGAAGAAGCCAGGTTAGTTTGTGTGTTGAAGATAAATAAGAAAAGCAACTTTGTGCGTGGATGTCTGGATTATTTTACTGGGAAGGTAACAGAATGACAACAGTAGTGGAGTAAATGCTACTCGTATGAGGTAAACCTGCGTGGTATCTACCTGAAAATCACGAACCCAAGTAGCCACCCCGCAAGTGAGTTAAAGTTCTGCCCTGAGAACAGGTGATGGAGCAGTGGGGTGCTACACTAACTAGCTATACATTTGCTTTTACATAAATGTCCTCCAATACTTTTTCTCCATTTTATCTCTTATTTTTAATGAAATGCTTCGACATGCTGTTTCTTTACTGTGGATTTGTGGTGAATGTCTTAAAAGTCTTGTTCATGTCACAAAGTAACAGAATCATAATAAAGTCAATAAAAATGTCAAAATATCTGTAGGAATATCATTTGGAAGCCACTTCAGAGGTAACATTGCACTTCCAAATAGTCCTTTTAGAAAGTTCCTAAAGATTAAACTCTTACATAGTAAAAAAGATACAACTGTGGTTAGACAAACGTACGTCTCAAACTGAAAGAGTGTTTGCAGACAGGACATGAGTTATAACAAGATCTAGAACGTTGTTGTGAGTAGGTTGTGTCACATGCTGAGTAAAAGACAAGGAAACATCTGAAAACTAAGAGGACAAAGAATCAGGCAGATTGTCAAGGAGAAAATCCAAATAAGTCATAGCAATAATTGTAGACGGACTCAGATTTAGTGAAACAGGACAATTTTAATGAAGAGAAAACACATTAAACAGCTTCATGGACATGGAATAACTAAAGCAAGGAGTATTTAAACAGGGGAGTCTGATTTGTGGATGGTACGCAGGAGAGCGGATCAACAAATGAGGAAAAAATGGTCAAAAGACCGGGAAAGTGAAACACTGAGGTAAAAGATTAACTAAAAACACAAAACACAGCAAAACCAAAAGATAAGATGTAATCATCCAGCAGATGATCACAACAGAACCAGAGAGTATTTGAACTGGGATGTCTGCTTAATGGCAAGTCTGAGATTGATTGACTCATGATTTTGTAACGTAATTTTGAAAGCATGTATAAACTGTAAAGTATTAAGGGTCTAACAATGTTACCATAAACTTTTTATCTCTTGTTTTACGATGCAGGATCTTTGTTGAGGTTCTGGGGATTTTAGAGTGTCAGCACACCTGAAAACGTTCTGTTCTCTCAGAGATGATCGAGAGATCTGCAGCGGTATTCTGCACGAACACACACCGCATCTGTTTCCACATTGAGATAAAAATCAGTGAGGTTTCCCTTGCACTGCACTTGCTGCAGAAAATGTATCCTAACATTTGACCTTGTCCCACTTAAAGAGATCAACATCAGAAAAGCCATTGGTTTGTTCCGATAGCATCGCAAGAAACTGCTGAGTTTTGATGCAGCCTGCAGGCCTTATCTTCACCAAAAATCACACCGGCTGCCCACTTTCAGAACAAGAGGTGGGTGAATCTAGGTCAAAGAAAAAAATTATATTTGACTTCTTTTGTTGAGTAATATTGTAAATGTCGAGATAAGACGAGAGCAGGTGGTAAAACCTGAAGTTTTATTTCACTTCAACAAATCAGAAACATTTTTAGTGAATGTAACTTTGATAAAACGTAATCTGATTTCATGAACATAATCCATATTCCACATCTTAGATTCATTTTTAGTTTATCTAAGCAGAAAGGTACATGGAAAGACTGATATATAAATGGAAGATTAGCTGGGGTCAAAGATTGTACTCAGAGCATCGGTACTTTCCCACAATCTTGGTTTTTAGATGTTATCAGAGCCGTAAAGCCGGAGCGAAGCAAACTACAACTTGCTACATGAGACAGAGAAACACCATGACAGCACCCACTCTCACCATATGTTGATTATTTGGTTGCAGAGATGATATGCTGTGTGTTATTTATAATCCAGCTTTACTGCTAATTCTGTTGAATGTTAGTTTTTCATTTGACCACGTCATCAGGACATAATCAGGACATATCTGAATAAAATCTTCTAGAGGACTCAATTTTCAAATGATGTGTGACTGACAAACACCAGAGTAGCTTCTGGGGTTCCACAGGGTTCTACACTGGGACCGCTGCTGTTCAGTCTTGAGACTCCTCAGGAGGAAGGATACTTCATAAAATGAATAACATGCTGGGCCACACTCAGCATCTCTTTCAGGAGACTGTAACAACACGATAGATAATCTTCAGTCAGAGGTGTCTTCAGAGCCGCTGCTATACTGACAGGTACAGGAGATTCTTTGTGTCTACCGCCATCAGTGTCCACATAAACCTCAGATACATTGAGTTTCAACAAAATGCAATTTCCTCTTTGCTTAATAAAGTATTTCTGAACTGAAATGAATAGAAACAAACATGCTTATATACTGTTGACACCATTTTCTTCTTTACAACTAATCATTTTTACGTTTAAAGGAATATTTTCCACCATGTGTTTTCCACTTTTCTGAGATCAAGTCGTTGGATTTAAGCCCCTGACACCAGCAGGATTGTCCAGCTTCTTGTGGGGATCCGTGTTCACATGGATATGTCGTCCCTCCAACGAGTTCTGGGTCTGGTCAGTGGGATTTCACAGAAAAATCTCCAGGATCCAGGTGACCAGGAACCCTTTTGGTCAGGGGTCAGAGGTCAGACCAAATCCATTGAGCCTTTTCAGTGAGGAGGAGATGGGCTTTAAGAGTCGTTAAATTGAGAGCTTCATTTCTTCACTCAGTTCCTTCTTCATCAAAACAACACTGCTGCAGAACTGACTCTAATCCTTCCAACTCCTGCTCCATTTTCATCATTAATAAACTAGACACCAAGACTCTTCCACTTGAGGCACAGACTGAATGGATGGATCAAAATCAGACAAAAATGTAATATTCAAGTATACTTTAAATTCAGTGACAATTTATCTGTCATGTTTAATTCCAGTAAAGGTAACAGGAAACACGTTGAGTCTAATTTCTTTCAATTAAAATTAATTATAATATCGGAGTCTGTAAACTGAAATCTGTGTCTCAGATTATTCTTTTAAACCTCAAGCAACCAAAAGTAAATACACAATCAGTGAGCAAACTGCTGTCTTTTCTTTTCCAGGATATAAAAAAAAAATCATGGAGATTAAAAACCTCTTTTTCAAGGGAGTCCTCACCAAAAGGCAGCAACAAATACAACACAGAAAAATAACAAGAAAAAAGAAAAATATCAAGCTATAAAAAACAGCTACATGTCATAAAATCAATTTGAAATGGTTTCTGCTGAAAACTGCTTTATGCTTGGTGTCAATAAAGCATCACATTCAGCTCAATGAAGGCCAGAAGACGTCTAACGAGGTCCACTTGGCATTAATTAGACATGAAACGGCAATAAATAAATATCATGTGAGACTTTTCACGCTGTTCACGCACAATTAATGTTCAAATTGGCTTCTAGGATAGACTTCTTTCCAAAAAGAACAAGGCAGCATGAATGTGGTTGGCTTAACCTGAATGAATAACAAAAGGAACAATGTTGTTTAAATAGACAAGCTCAAGATCACAGCGACAGTCAAGCACGGTGTTGGAGGGGTGATGATATGGGGTTTTATTCGACCTCCTTGAAGTCATTGAACATGAACTCCATGTGATAAGCCTCCTGGAGTCAAATGTAAAACTATTCGTCAACTGAAACGGATCATCAATAGAAGCGTAAACCCAGACAGCAGCAAACATGAAAAAAACAAAAACAAACACTAGTTAAGATATTGGAGTGGCCCTGTCAAAGTCCCAACCTAATCGAAAACCAGAGGTGGAGAGAATGTTTGCAAATCTCAGTAAAACAAACTGTTTTATCTCTTAGTAGCATTGATGGTACTAAAAGCTGTTAAATTGTAGGGTGAACTGACGGCCTTAAAAACTTTTCGCTGAAAAAGGCCGATTTTCACTTTGTGGAAAACGGACTCTGCTGTTCTTTACTCTAGTGTGCAGAAAGGATTTGCACGGTGGAAACAATCAGGAATAAACATTATGTAACTACACACTAGATGGAGATGCTGCGTACATCGGGTACTGAGGAAAAGGGTCACCACCAAATCCCCCAACTTCCTTTGGCCTGATTTCGAAGCAAAGTTCATCGACGGCTGGTGAATTCCAGAAGTTCCCATCCGCTCATGAATATGCAGATCTGAGCGCAATCAGGCTAATATAGGTCGAGGTTTCGAGGATGGATCATTTCAAACGTGCCACAACCTTTGAAGAGAAGTAAACATGAAGACTCTCACCGTGGGACTGCTGCTGCTGTTTGCCGTCTACTGCTGCAATGCGATGCGTAAGTCTGGCTCCTCTCTGCACCCCAACACACACGACGACCAGCAAACACTCACGGGTTTCTGCTGTTTTATTTATTTATTGATTCAAAAATTATTTTAGTGTGAAAGATAACCAGAGTGTAGACAAAATGCATATTTCAAAGAATGGTTTAATTTAAGGAGAAATGCTATACAAACCAATCTGGTCATATGTGAAAATGTAATTGCCAATTATCTGTGTCACTACTAATAAGTCTTTTATAGATTTTTTTAGTATGTTTATGCTGCAGAGATACTGTGGCGCAATCTCACTCACAGATTTGTTTAAAATCAGCCACAGTGAATCATTTTTGAGTGCCAACAACCTATATTATAATTCCAGACTTTGACTAGGCCACTCCAAAATCTTCATTTTGATTCATTGATAGCTTGGTCTCTCTGGATCATTGTTCTGAGTAATCCCAGTACTTGAGGTTGATCTCACAAAGTGATACATCAGACATTCTCCTTAAAGATTTTCAGTTTTTTTTTTCAGATTCTGCTTATTTATTTATTGTTTATTGCATTGTTCTCTGAGACTCTAAGTAGAACGGGTCACATCAGAGAAACAGAATACTTTGATTAATAAGTTGTTTTGGAAAGGAGGAAGTATATGCAGAAGTGAAGAAATTGATTGCACAGCTAAAAATTATCTCAAACGCTTTAAAATGGAAAAAACAAACAAAAAAAACAAAAACAAATGAAGAGCTTTGGATGGTGCTGAAGCAACTAGATGAAGCCAAGAAATTGAAAAGAAACATCAAATGCAAGTTTTAGTTTTACTGTTGGAAAAAGATTGTATGGCCTGGAGAACACGTTGACCTGAGGCAAAATAACATTTTTTAAGTGATTAAAGCAAGATTCTTTGTTTTGGGCCAAGCGATACAACACTGTATTCCAGTGGAATCACACTACAAAGAATGGTGGCTGTTGAATCACGGTACGGGGACGGCTCTCTTATTATGTCCTGTTTTTATACTTTCTACATACCAGGGATCGTTGGTTGCACATTAAATCGGCCAGCCGATAAATCGGTCAGTTTTCTTAATTTTGTGAGATCGGCAATCGATCGGTCGATACTTACACGTGAAGCCAATCTTATCTAATCTTATCTACTGGCAAAGGTTTTACTTTGCTGTGAGAGAGGTTTAGCTCACACACCAATCCACCAGGTCAAGTCTGCACATTTGTAGTTAACAATATTCACCCCACTGTTGCCAACTCGGCGACTTTCTTGCTATATTTATAATACATGCTATAATACATTTCCGACAAAATCATCTGTATCGGCCAAAATCGGAATCGGCAGGTCAGTTTTTTTTTTATAGATCTGTAATTGGAATGAGTACAACCCTATTTTGCATTCGTCAAAATGTCTGAAGATGTAATTTTCCCTCATATGCTGAATTAAGAAATGCTCTTAAAATAATTGATTTACTCCAAGCAAACCAGCATCAAATACCCAACCGTTGGGCAACATTAAAGTTTTATGTGGGGTTTGTTGCTAAAATCAAACATGCAGAGCCAAAACCAGGAAGTATCATTGGGAAAGCTTTCCAAACGTCCACGGTTGTAATACCTGTTCAGAGGAAGATCCTGACGCAAAAACGTTCTCACAAGTGGTGGTCATACAACTAATTTCACAGGAGACCTACATCTTCAAACATTTTCAAAACTTCCTCTTTTATAATCTAGAAAAGTCACAAATGGCATGTAGGAAGATGCAGTTTTCTAAAAAAAATTATTTTAGATTAAAAATTACAACCTGAGAACGGTCTCCATTTCCAGTCCATTAGGTCATAAATGTTGGTTTTAAGAGTTTTAATGAGTACATGTTTGCATCTGACTTGAGGAAACATTTTACTCACGGCATAAAACAACAAAAAACGCAGTTACAGGAGGTCATGATTTATCAGGGATTCTTGAGAATAGGGACAGAACAGGTCCTATGGATAAAGCACAATATTTGAATAAAATATATACAATATATATATAT